TACGTAAGTAAACTGATTCTTCATATTTCGCGGCTTCAAAGAAAATTCTAAATATCTCTAAATGGTGCCCAAACTAAGGTGTGGTGGATAACAATTTGTCTACACATTAATTTAGTAAACGATTTCCCCTGCTTTTCAACCGCCCTTTTTAAAGAGGGAAGAATATATGAAAATTTGCTTCAGAATCACCGAGTTTTCACATTTCTTGCTCTGACAGCTTTATAATAGACTCTTTTCACTTACATATCAGTTATGAGCTCTTATTAAGCAAACGAACAAGAATTTAATGGCATACATTTAATTGATATCTGTTTTGCACATACTTGTAAATGGTATAATATGACTTAAAAATTTGCATTTTCCTTGATAAAATGTTAAGATTCATAAGTAAAATAATTGCGGGGCAGAATAATGAAATTTACTGAACTTGAACTGTGAAAGGGTACATCAAAATCGCAATCGTTTACTAGAAACTTACACGAAACGATGTTATCATAGGTTTAAAACAAAACTTTCAATTTTTACCAACAATAAGGAAAAATAATACGCGTTTGCTAGATCATTATTATTTTTTTTACTTATGAAAATTTATTGACAGGCTATTCTCTGTGTGTCTATCACCTATTCATCAAATAAATTCTGTGAGTTTGTTAAATTCGAATCTAAAACTCTTTCTTCAATCTTTATTAAATATCCCGTTTTAAAAATCCAATATTCATGACAGATTTCAGCAATACCTCGGACATAATTAAAGTTTCTACTCTAGTATTTCACTATTTCATTTCATATCTCTTGAGGAAAACTGTAAGCTGAAATTTGCATTTTGCGGAGTTATAAAGCGGCAGGAAACCAGAAGAAATTGAAAAATGGTGGCGTGAGGGAAAAAATATCCCTTTTTTCAATTTTCGCAAATGATTTTGCTATTTCTAAATACAAAAAAGGCGAACAGAATAATCACTTCTTGTTTAAAGTAGCATTAGGAAATATATAGGTAACAACTGCTGAGAAATTTGGAAACTATATGTAATGATGTTACGAAACTAGATATAGCGAGCTGTAAATTTTCTTCCAATAATTGAATATTATCATATATTTTAACAAAGATATTATTATAAAAATAAATATATTTTTAATATTAAAACAAAAAAGCCTTAATTTAGCGAAGCTTTTGATTAATAATGCTATAATTAGAATAAATATAAACTTAATATTGACCATTATTATACGAAATCAATACCTAAATAGTTATAATTTATTTAATTTAAAGAAGCCGATCAGTGATCGAACGATAAAGTTGCAGAACACTGGTAGTTCGACCCGATTTCCTATCCCGTTGAACATATTGGCTGTATGAAGTGTTCATGGTTTTAATCCATGTGTAATGTAGAATACGAACCAATATCCCTTTAAAAATTCCTCCACGAAGGCGTACCTCTCCATTAGCAGATAGCCCTAACTATCACTATAGCGTAACAAAATATAAAATATTTTCCTTTATAAATATAACTAATATTAAGTCAGCAATGTATCTTCATATGTAACTATAAATAAAAACATTATAATTATGCGTAATAAACCAAAATATAATTACAATTTGGAAAGGAAAGGGCATTCGGCGAGATCTTCGCCAAGTTATAATTTGTCCAAGTACGCGCATAGGCTGATAATGCACCACAAATACAGTGCATCTATATCAATGACAGTATGTTATATTGGTGAATAACAATATGTTAATCAACTAACAGGGAATTAATTTTAATCGCAAGCTAATAAGCATGAAGCATGCATTTATCTAAATATGTTTCAGCTTCTAAAAATACAGTTTTTAAAGAAAATTAATTAGCTATTATAATAGCATAACAAGCATTCTCACATTCTCATCTCTTAAGAATAAGTTCACCTGTACAGTTTTTTTAGGGTGCAGGGAAGAATTAATAAAAATATTAAACGCTTGTAAACGACTAATCAACGGTATTTTTAATCCTTATTGGCATCCAAAGAAGAGACGTGATCTGGGTAATTATAGAACCGGTTATAAATAAAGTCCAGGTAACAGAAAATCTTCGGTATTTGCATAGCAAATTTTGAAGGGCTCTTTCATTCAGGTTACATTTTTAAGAGGAATAACTTTATTAAATTGCATCATCAAGATTGAAGAAACCTACTCTGGCTGTGAAATAGTAACTTAAATATTCAATAATGTTTTTGTCATTGATGTTATTTGACACTTGGTTTATGTTTTCAAGCATCCGTGTACAGCAGTTTAACGTGTCCTAAGATTTTCCTTTTTGAGTAATGCAGATTATTGATGCTCGGTAATAATAGAACCGGTTATAAATATAGTCCAGGTAACAGAAAATCTTCGGTATGTGCATAGCAAATTTTGAAGGACTCTTTCATTCAGGTTACATTTTTAAGAGGAATAACTTTGTTAAATTGCATCATGAAGATTGAAGGAACCTACTCTGGCGCTGTGATATAGTAACTCAAATATTCAATAAAATTTTTGTCATTGATGTTATTTGACACTCGGTTTATGTTTTCAAGCATCCGTGTACAGCAGTTTAACGTGTCCTAAGATTTTCCTTTTTGAGTAATGCAGATTATTGATGCTCGGTAATAGATATGAATATTTCACAAGCCTCAGTGTGCTCAAAATTAAATATGTAAGTACACCGAATTTTAAATTTCGAGAAATGCTTTTATGTCCGTCTTATTTATCGATCATGAGCATTTTCATACTTTAGCTTTCAGCTATTATTCGCAGTTCTATTTTTCACATACCAAATACAAACCAATATATTTCTTTATAACAGGCACACATTTTTATTTCTGTCATTAGGCCATGACTTTACTTTCTATTAAACAAATGCAAATTTCGAAAACGAGAATTTTTTCTACTTTAAAATAGCTGTGCTGAGTGTTTTTATTAAGCCGCGCAAAATAATGTCGCTCCCTAGTAAGGATCTTAAGTTTGACTAACGTTTATTTTGTTTTAAAACTTTACTATCTTTTCTTATTTTCAGCTACCGGCCAGAATAAACGCGTTAATTTGTTAACGCAAATTGTACTTGCTAACATCCAAGTATTTAAGTTGAGGCTTTTCGCCAAAAACAGAGTTAGATGGAGAGAAAGTGAGCCGCCTTGTCACTGTATTTCACGCCAGTTTCAATCAGTTTCTGTCTTTCTTTAAGGCCAGAGGTTTTAGTCCTCTAAAAAGTTAAAGACGTATTGTAGTTTTCCACAGTTTGCGTACTACATACGTAGTAATTTAAAAGACCAGTCTTAGTCATTTGTGTTTCAGCAGTTCTTATATTTGTACGTTTAGACCACAAGTGGTTGGTCTTTGTGTCCCGAAGTGCGGGAGCACCTGTAATACCGTGGAAAATAAAGGGTAATTTAATCCTTTATCTTGTCATACTCCACAAGAAATAGTTTGTAGTCAAACGCACTGTCGAATCAGGACATGTTATGTTTGCCAAGCAGTAAACGAAATACAAGTCCTGATACTGTTTGCGAAAGGTATAAAAGGTATAGAAATACTCTTTCTCTCGAAGATATAATGAACATTATTAACTCCAAAAACATTTTATATTTTCGACACTTGCGATCCTGAAATTATACAGTTCTTTTCTAAGAACATTCGAAGACCTAAACTTAACTGTATTTTTTAAAGACATAGATTTAAATGGGGCAGAAGTTACATACCTCCGTACAAAACTCCTAACCCAGGAAATAATAATGAAAGAGCTTTTCGTAGAACTGCAATTCGAGAGATCATTTCTGGATTGAAATTTCGAACCTGAAATAATGCAGCTGAAAATGAATTGAATGCAGTGCCGAATAAATCCGACTAACAGCTAAAAAATTCTAATGAGAGCTTATCAAGACTGCTTGCAAAAAATTTCTTAGTAAAATATAAAAGCAATAATTGTTAATAAATATAATGAGTGTTCTTTGAAAATTATACTAAGTCATGAATTTCAATATACCCTTAGATCTTTTCAGGCCTACCAGCGGTTGAGATATGAAGTAGTTGTCGCTGAACACTGGTGGTAAGACCTGCATTGGATCCCAGGCAAGCGCACACGTTGCGTAGGCGTTTTAGTAGTTTTTCCCATGTGTGATAATAATAATAATTTTGTACTCCTCCCCGTCCACTTAAGGACATTGCGGGGAGTGAGAAATTTTGACACCTCTTGCCGAAAAAAGCCGAAACAGCTGCCGGTCGTACGCTAGTACCACGCGGCCTATCAAGGCTGAGGGCGTGCCGGACAAGACACTTCCCCTCTGTCTGGAAGATTTGTTGACCTCGCCATCGGGACCCACTGGTCCTTTATTTAGAAATACATAACAAAATTAGGAAAATATATACATTATTTACATATATACAATAGAGTCTCCACTCTATGTTAACAGATGGAAAGATGCTTCGTTACAATGTTTGCCATTTACAGATGTAAAATTGATTTTATTACAGTTACACAGCCGATTTCAGGTATCCACAATTATTCTATCCTCGTTTTTGATGACATAATTCATCATGAGTTTTATTCCTTTGGCGCATAATGGATTGTAGAACAACTCTTGTGTTGGGAGTCTTTCTGCAAATCCTGGAAGATGCTCCTTTCTGATTTCTGAAAGTAGTGGGAATCGGAATATTAGATGTCTTGCATCTGCTCTTTCAAGTCCACAGCCACATCTGACATTCCTCCTTAAGAAGCGTTTAAAGTATGAAGGGAATTTTCCATGATTGGTTATAGCCATGACTAATGGAAAGTCAGTCCTTATTCTTTTTAGGGAGACTCTTGGATAGTACTCATAAGTCTGTCGTCCTGTTTCTGAGTTTCTGAGTTTCTGTCCCCGTTTCTCTTGCCAGCTTTGTATCGCATCCTTTAGGATTCTGTCTTTCGCAGCCAAGATTGGAGTTTGGTAGTAGACAGTCCACTTCTGCCTTATTTGAAGCCTCTTTCGCAGCTTGGTCTGCTGCTGCATTCCCGTCAATTCCTATATGTCCACGGATCCAATTCAGGTTTACTGTTTTCTGTTGTGATGAAAGTCTTTTCTGTTGTGATGAGCTCCTTTAGTGCTTTAATGAGGAGCGTTTGTTTTGCACTGTTAATAGCCTTGAGGACACTTTGTCTATCCGAGAAAACGTTAATCGCCCTCTTGCCATGCTTTAGGTAATCATTTATCCATATGAATGCCGATCTGAGAGCTATTGCTTCCGCTTGGAAAACTGAAGAATTGTCTGTTAATCTGATCATTTGCGTCGTTATTTCTATTTTATTATCATACACTACGAAGGCCGCACCGACTCGTTCCTGAGTCTTCGAGCCATCTGTAAAGATCTCCACACCAGACCCTGTGGGTAATTTTTTGTGCCAGTTAATCATCCGAGCTTCAGCTGGATGGGTTCTGCCCATATCAAATTTTTCCTCTATCTCTGCTCCCGAGATAAGTCCAGTATCGATAGAAACATCTTCTTTGAAATGCACTAGTTTAAACGTCTTGGCCTCTTGGTCCGCTTTGAGGTCTAGTGGGAGAGCACCTACCAGCACCTGAAGTGCTGTTGCTGGAGATGTACTGAACGCTTTTTTTATACTTAACAGTACTATTCTCTGGATTTGAAGAAGTTTATTCGAAACTCGAACCGTCTTTGTATGATGCCACCAGATGGGACATCCGTACAGGATCAATCTTTCAATAGCCCTCGTATACAACTGCTTCATTATTTTCCCTTTAATATTCCATTTATGCATCATGAACCTGTTGAGGCTGTTGACTATGTCATGAATCTTATTGCGCATTTCCGTTAGATGTGGGATCCATGTCAGCTTTTTGTCCAATAAGAACCCTAAGTACTTCAGAGTGTCTCTGTTACGAATTGCATTCAGAGCATAAAATATATTTCAATATATTTAACCCTTCTTTAAAATAATTAGCAATAATAAATAAATCTTACAGCTACAATAATATTTTTTTGGTACAGTTAAATGGGCAAAAAATATATTCGAAACTTTACAGTGTATTAATATTACTCAATGGATTACTAGGGTAAGCAAAGTAATGATATCTAATTTCGAAACAGTGTCAAAAAATAAAATAAAATAGCTTAGTAAACTATAATATAGCGTGAGAGATATTTAGAACCCTAGATTAAAAGTGAAACTAATGTTAAAAAGTGAAAAACCAAAACAAATTTAACACTGTGGACTGGATACACTACTAAAAGGATTAAACAAAATAACCATGCATTATGATATGACTGAATAAGAAATAGATATTTTGTAAATTTTGAACAAAAGTGAAAAATTGCAAATCCTTATTTAATAAATGAATCAAAAATTTCATGATATTGTGTTTTGCTGTCGCCTTAGGATTTAATTAACTGTAGTACCCGATGCAGATGCTTAACCTTTTGTTTAGTAGTTAATTGAATGTAGAATGAAAAATAAAAAGGAGATTAGCAGCTAATGAATAATGCTCTTTTTATTCCAGGAAACTCAAGGACTTATGTTGTTCATTTTGAATGATTAAGCGTTTTAGAGCATTAAAGCATTCTTTGGTAGGATTACCAAAAATACGATGTTGTTTTTTACTAGCATTATGTGCTTAAATTACGTTAAAACAATAACTTTACCATTTTTATTAATGCAAAAATAAGTAAATGCAAGTCTTATCATCGACAATAAGAAATTAAAGTGAATAGTAGTTTTTATCTTTTTTAGGTTGAGTTATATTGATTCTGCAGTAGTTGGCTAAATGTTTTTAATTTCTGATATTGGTCTTTGGTATATGAGAAATCTTTACGATTAAAAATGCTTTGGAGAAAGGAAAGGACTGGATTTAAGGAGCTTTAACTTACGCTCTGAGAGTATTTTTAAGGTTAAGATACCTAAATAACCGGGGAAGCTTGTGAAGTGTATTATCTTTAAAGTAACAAGAGATAAGTAATAAATTATCTTCATGTATTATTTACACATCACTCTGCGTGTATGGATATACTAGTATTCCTCTCTGAAAGTCCATCTCGGCGCGGTGGCGGCAACGTTCTCCGGATGGGGGGGGCGGCTAACGGGTCCGTAACCAAACTGCTGGTGGTCTCCCAATATGGGGGGCGTGAAAAATTTTTTGGTGGTACTTTCAACATCAAAACTCACGGAGACGTACTTGGTAGTGAGTAAGCTGTTTCGGCTTGGAGATGCTCGCAAATGGAATCATCTTGTCGATGCAGGTCCAAACGAATTTTACAGACCGGTGATAGGATATTACTCTACCTTGGGACCGGATAATTCCAATACTGTATAAATATGGAATTCAAAAAGTCATTTTAAGAAATAAAAATTTCTTTTATTCAGGGCTAGGGGCAGACCTTATTTCTTTTGATCATAATTTTTCTTATGTTGCTTTATTCATTTATTATTACCTAGTTATAAATTACATTTATCACATAATTGTAATTACATTAAAAAATCTTAAATATTATTCAGAAGATAAATGGTAGTTATTATTTAGGCTGTAAAGCTTTACAGAGGGTCGCAGAAAAACTTCCACAAAATTACACGGCACTCTTGAGAGGTTAAAGATGTTGTTGGAATGAAATTGATGACCTTTCCTCAAGGATTAGATTATCTGCCACAATGAAAATTGTTCTAGTAATTAAAGCTAGCAAGACTTTTCAATGAGTTTTGAATTCGAATTTGAACATTTCATTAAACCACAATAGTAAGGTATATTATGAAGTAAAAAAGCATATTTATTTTTTGCTTGTAATTTTTTATTTTTCTATATAGATTTTGTCTTCTTTGTCTTTTTTTCTTTTGAAACATTTATTTTGATCAATAACAAGTCGTTGATACCGTCTTCATAGGACTCTGCCGCCGTCATTTTAAGTCAGTTATTCACGACCGTTTTCGCTTTCTCATAAGTAGTTTTCATTTCTTCGTCTGCTTGACTTGTGCTGCTTTGTGTAAATTTGCGTCCTAATTGCTTACATTAAAGAGTTAATTCTTTACAGATGACTAACCACAGCGCGATTCATCTTCGTTGTTTTCTCTACCTTCGTTGAATTGTGTTATCCATTTCCCACTTTACTGACATTTAACTTTACATTTCCTATGCGTCACTAAATTATCCATAGCGTTCATATTTCTTTATAAAGAGCCGTATGCTTGACCATTTTCATAATTGGTGGAGTTCTCGATATTTTAAAGATTTAATTCTTTGAAGGCCGAAGCCTTCGCTCACCTGCTTGCTTAAAATATCAAAACTACTCAAAGTCCATTTCAGATTCGCAACAGTTTCTTCCCCGCTATTCATTAACGAACAAAGAGGTGTGGAAGTTTCAAATAATATCATTTCTAGTTCCTAACGAAAGAGCTTTCATTAGCCACTGATTCACCTACTTATACTGAGTCATCTTTTACCTAGAGGTAAGGAACCACAAAAAAATTCATCTACAAGAGCACTGTCTGCAATAAACATGAAGTTATGCAAAGTATGCGATCTCTGCCAATGGTCGTTTGAATGAAAGGCCGTTTGAAGAGCTTCGGTCGGGTGAAGCATACTAACTGCCCCCGTGAATATTAATGACCTCGGATTCTGCGCAAAGAATCTCGGAAGATAGTGTGCGGACTCATTCTCAGGCACGCGCAAAATTTCAAAATGGTATTTGTAAACTGGCCTTTCTTAATAACTTAAGTAGATACAATTTCATGTATGACATAGTGTACTTGTTTAAGTGCTTAAGTTTTAATGGAGATATTTCATAAATTAGTTTTGAGTGGAAATAGATAAATGCAGAAATCAAAATATTAAAAACTGTTGATCTCAACGCAAGAGTTAAATATTGTAAATTTTCTTAGATTTTCACACGAGAAAATTCTAATGTCAAACAATAAACTCTCCACTGATGATGAAATATGTTTTTGCATATTAAAGAAATGCATAATTTCAAATAAATAAATAAATACATAAATGTGTAAACATTTTTAAAGGAATTTAGAATAAAAAAATCATCTTTACACTTTCATTATTTTTCGCATTTGATAAAAGTCAAATCTTGAGGCTAACGACAGATTTCATATCGAAATTGTTTAACGGATATTAGAATGAATTACATTTAATCATTTTCATGTTCTTTTCTATACTGTTATTTTTATTTTTCCTTAGAATTCAGTGAAAGTCACAATACAATCTGTGTAGAGGTACCTCATGGTTTTATTTGTAGTAACATAAGTGTAAGTGGGGTAACTAGATATTAGGTTTTATTATTTTCTTCAATAAAACAGCTTAATATAAAAAGTTTTTTTTTGCATTTGTTTAATCTAAAGAGTGAAAAAAACAATAAGGAAAAGAAAATCTTTGCTTCGAAAATTCTGAAAATGATTTTTCATAATTAGTGTTGCGAAGAACCACGCTTGGCATTATGTTTTTCAAGGTCTTCCTATCTATCCAATAGCATAAAACTTAGAGTAATTTGATTAAAATCTCCGTTTAATGTAAAAATTTAATATCATCGTCCTTTAAAATTGAGAAGCTGCTAAGAGGCGAGGAAGAGGGAAAAAAAAAAAAAAAGGATATTGATTTAAGTATTTATTATGCTAGTTCGTCGCTCGGCAAGAAAGCCGTTTGTGTAGAAGCAGAAATTAATTTCGAGATTTGACTCGAATAAGTACAGAAACCAAGCGAAAGGAAATTGTGAAAAAGCGCCACATTTTGTCCTGTTACAAGCAAGTATATTCCTGTATGAAAAATATAAAATTTGTACTAAAGAACGTTTTGAGTTTAACGTTTTGTACTAAAGAACGTTATAACCTTAAATTTCACTCTTCTGTTAATAACTTAATGAATGAGAATTAAACAAAAACCATATAAAAAAGATGTGTTTAAAAAGCTAAAATATTTTTAAATAAACAGATACGTTTAAACATCTTTCCTCAGTTTAATACGAAACAGAAATTCAAGTAATACAACTTCCGTTAGCTCCTGAATTTTCCTTCAACTTTCACTAAATGTATAAGGAATAAAAAACATAAATATTGGAAACTTCTTCAGTTTTTTCCCTTTGCGAAGAACTCAATGTTATTATTAAAATGAAATAGAATCTAGCCGGCATGGGAAATGGATTTTTCTTGAATTTCTTGACTTCAGTGAAGATATCCTGATCCTCTGCAGCCCTAAGCAATGTTGACATGACGACCGATATCCCTGGTAAGAGATTGAATTATATTCTCCCTCAGGGACACGATGATAACAACATCGATTTTTGTTCCCCTCCTGTTTATGTTATGGATATTCGTGCAATAGTTTGTAGTTTTCATTTCTGAAAGTCTGGTGGAAAATTTTTTTAAAGTTTTATCCCACTATTTCTTGAATTTTGTTTCATTGCGGTTTGGATATTTATTGTTGGATTTTCAGGCTATTCATAGCCGTGATTTAGAATATATGAATTGATTCCTCCATGATATATTTTACAAGCAATTATCTCTTAAATCTGTTGTTTCCACCGCTTAGATCCTAGTTGCCTTGTTTATATAAACTAGATCCTTCTGCAGCTGATGGCTTGCTGTTCCTCTGCAGCAATAATCTCATTTATTTTATCTGTATTTAGATCCTATATTGCATTGATTCATATTTTCATAAAATATGTTTTATCTTAAAGGCTTCTAAATATACCGTAAAAGGAAGCTAGTATATCGGAATGTCTGACACATTTTAAAGCTAACATTTTTACATTCGGGCTTTAATCAAATAGAAGCCTCATAAAATAAACGGTTTCCTTTACTTTGTTGCGCAGTTTCTAAGA